TTTTYATACCATATTTACCATAAGGGCAAGTCCTCAAATGAAACCATTCTCAACAGCAGTCTTCTATAACTTACTTGTTTTTATCCCTACTTCATCCATACGCCCTTGGAATAAGGCAAGGATGTCGTCCCTTAAATAATCACATATAGACATATTTTTGGACAATCTTTCTCGTAAAACTTGTTTAAGAAATTTAAAAATCTTAGAACTACCATAATCTTGGTATATCAGTAAATTCAAGAAGAGTTCATCTATCTAGGTGGAAGCTTCATTTATCTTTATTATGAGATGAAAGATTATGAATAGCCATCTTTAATGGAAATTTTGAGGAGTAGTTATCTTCCTTTTTACTGGTATAGAATCTTACTTTCCTGTAATCAAAAAAATTATTCTTTAAAGCATTTTCAAATTTATTCATTAATACTCGTATGTTCATTTTTTTACTTTCAACAATTACGGTCTCGCTTAATCCGTTGAGAATTTAGCTTCAACCAGACAGCACACAGTGTTTAGAAATGCTTTAGACGTGTGCTTAAATTGTTTGTTGTAAACTACTACATCGATAGATGYATTCAAGTTGAGCTTGAAGCCGCACTTCTCATTCACACACACACACACACACGCAAACCCACAAAGCAGGCTGACGGTGTGTCTGTGTGCAACGGTCTATACATTCGCGCTCAATTGTTAATGCTACATTCATTTGTTCTGTTAACTCATTCATTCGCAACGCAGGTGACGACTGAGCGCACGCGGAGTGAAAATGSAGCACACAAGAAAAGCGCAAGGAGAGTGCCGCAGAGTGTGCGGCGCTTTGTAGGTTAAATTGTGCACGGCGTATACGCAATTGTAAATGAGTTACAAATGTAATCAACGAATTACGCGCCGTTGGCGGTTGCTCGATTCCTACCTATGCGTATGTACAATGGCTGCAGCAGCGAAAGCGAATGCGCACAGCCATATATAGTACACATGAACACACGTAAATAACTGTGTGTTAATACATATACACGCGTGAATGCATTTGAGAATAAAAGTGCAACGATGCAGTTGGTCGTGCACAAGAACAATAACAGCAACAACAACAAAATTACGAAAACAGCAAAAAGCATCAACAACAGCATTTGCAACCGTCAACGTGGAACAAAGGTATAGTTACAACAATAATAACAACAACATCTGTGTTGTATATGTATAAATAAGCACGACAAGTACACGGCAGTAGGCATCGTTTAAGCAAAAAAAAAATTACTAAATTACTGTAACGGTGTTAAAACAACAACAACTGCAACAATATTAATTTTGTTCTAACAGTTGAGTGATATTTCCGCATGTTAACGCTTTAAGGGACAAGTGGCCTTTAATATAACTGGGAAATTGCATTAAAATTCATGCATAAGCAATTTAATTCTGCAAATATGCGAATGCATCGCCCTACAACAATATCTGTGAACATATACAAGCATATACAATTATTTGTGTACGTATAATACCATATATATATTATAAATTTACATAGGTGCCAATGAGCGCACCACATTCATTATATGAAGGCTTAAAGCGAGAGTGTTGAGCTGTCGATTGCACAAAGTCTCATGACTGCCATATACATACATATAAAAAATAAATATGCGGCTCCTATTAATTTTATCTGTACACTTATGCATGTCGGTTCATCTGTTGTTTATTTATGCACACGCTCTAATTTATTTACTTGCGATGCAAGCTCATGAACCAATATACATATATATATAAGCGTGTCCGTTATTTCGCAAGCTGATTAATTTTGCAATTTTTGCACTAAAAAAGAGTATAACGTATACAAGCTTAAAACAGTGTCTAAATCATATTTCTTTTTAAACCGCTTTCTTTAGCTTCGTCTGTATGATTGTAACCTGGAAAAAGTTCATTGAAACTGTGTGGCAAAAGGACAAACAGTTTGATAGGCACTAAAAAAAAATATTGCCTAAGATTATGCAGCATARAATATAAATTATTCTTGCTGGCATTTGAACAAAATTTTACTCAAACTCAACCCTTAAGRACGTGAAAGCTTACTTGCGGCACATTAAATTGATTGGAATTAAATGGAAAAATGAGTATAATTCAAACGACCTARAAACATGCTTTTAAAGTATTTGCTGAAAAAAAAAGGTGATGTCCTTCGTACCTTATTTTTCGTATATCGAATATACCACACTTTTTTCACAGTAAACAACTAGTTTTCAGTCAAGCTTCAGTTATAAAAGGAATTAGTTCTYGGTTTAAAATTTGTTATACTACTATATATACTCAATACTTCCCTTAGTTAGTATATTTAACATAAAGATTTTTGAACTTCCAGTTGACTTTATACTACATAAATCGACCAATTTAGAAGTAACTGCAATCATAATGAGTAAGCGTACTTTGCTAATCACAGTATATATTCTGTCTCTTATACACATCTAGATGTGTATAAGAGACAGGTTAATACTTCCCTTAGCCCCCATATATTTAACATAAAGATTTTTGAACTTCCAGTTGACTTTATACTACATAAATCGACCAATKTAGAAGTAACTGCAATCATAATGAGTAAGCGTACTTTGCTAATCACAGTATATATTTGTTCATAAAATGGATAAAATCGTGCGAAAAATTACTTTGGCCCTCGTATAACTGATATTCGGAATTTTGACAAATCCTGAGCAATGTACAAACTTAATGCACTTCAAATACTTTGATGGATATATAAGTATGTGTTTTAAGCTCTTGCTCAATGAAACTAAGTGGACACGTGCTCTTAAAAGTTATATAATTATATTTATGGTGTGGCCCTCAATATAAATTAAACGGGGGTTGGTGTAAATCTCATATGTCTGATACGATGAATTTCGTTCCTTTGGTTGACGTTTTTCACATCAACTCGATGTATTGAATTCAGACCGTTCTCATCACATATACTACTTTTGAGAATGGTTTAAATATAATTTTTCCTGACTGACTGACTACTGTAAAAGTAAATGAGTCTATGACCTTCAAAATATGTAAAGGGATACCAAATTTGATTGCAATCCATTCTCGATTTTGTCGAACAATTATGTTGAACCCTTTCGCTACATACTTTAATAAAAAAATTTGCTAAGACCTGCAGATATTTAGTCGTCTKTGATCCCTACTGGTTGTAAGAGTATAAAATGTTCGTTTKCRYCCGAATTAGCTCTTCCTAACTWGTTTGATTTTAGATGATCCAGCACCGAGTTAKGAAGTTCCCTACAATCCCACATTTTTCTGAGACACTCCAGTGTATTTTTCACCTTTTGAAATWTAATATTTTTTAATGTTTTTCTATGAAATTTAACATAATATTCTGCAAGTGACATGCTATAATGTTGCAGTACTTGTGGCGCCACGTAGCGAAAGAAGAAACTACTGGCGCTCTCTTGTAGACTTTGCTATAATCGCGTAAGCGGTGTCTACGCTGGTAAGTAAGAAGAATGAATCTTAGAACTAAGCCTGGCAATACTTCTGCTAATCCGTGGCAGCAGTGAATARTGATAGTGAAATACAAAATAAAGCCTTAAGGGGGTTATTCAATTTGACGGGCTGATTTTTTAGAATTTACTTTTTATAACCAGTAATAAGAAAGAGAWTTCTGTTTATTATCATTTATTAACACACTTTTCGACAGTGTAAATATAAACTAAAGTTCAGGCTAAAAATATTGTGTAGAACATGAATCAGTGATTCTGAACACACCCGGCTTGAATTATTGCGCTCGCCTTTCTTTCACGATTCCAACTGATTGGACTATTTAAAATATAAAAAATAGCGGCGTTTTACTAATAAAGTCAATCCAGTTGCAGGAACGAAATATTATGAAATAAATATWTCAAAAATTTAAAATCAAGATTTTGGGAATTGCTGATTGATAATAGATTACTCTAAGCATTTGCATGTGCTGATTATACCCTACAAATTTCAAKTCTTTCGATTACGCCACTTAAACTCCTCAACTCAGCACCCCGAGCAAAGAATTGCTGTATCTTCAAAAGAGCTTTGAATAAAAAAAAAATTACTTTACTATCGTAATAAAGATATATATTAAAAATTTATAAAGTAATATTTAATTCCTAACGTGGGATGATCGAAGCTATGGTACTCTTCACAAATACAAAACCTTTCAAGCAATTTATTCCGATCGTTCAGGTTATATACTGTTATATTTTATAGTGGTCCAATTTCGGCGTTGAGTACCTTTTTAATAAAAAGAACGATTGCAAAATTTTAGATCGATATCATATAAACTGACGGCAGATAAACGCATGAACATTGCTAAACCCGCGCAGCTCGTCATGCTGATCATTTACATCTGTTTCCGCCGTTTTCTTTTACGTGTACAAACTTCGTCGCTAACTCAATGTGCCCTGTTCAGAGTAAAACTATAGTTGATCTCACAACCATAATGCGTTTGCTTGTTGGAGATCTTAGAAAGACTCTTGGATGTATTCTTACATATAACTACCTTTCCGAAGGCGCCGACCTTGACGACGCGACGGTCCAATTAAACGGAGGTGCTATTCAAGTTGAGTTTATATCTCTCAGTTGTGACGTTGAACAATATTTTACTGTGACTCATTGAAGTTGTGCTGATATAAAGAACAAGCCATAGGTTGGAATTTATCTTTTTCCATAGTACTAAAATATAGTGGGTGGTTTATAGATTTTGATACCCATTCAAATTGAGTTCATTCGTGGACAAAATATAACACACAGTTTAAGGATTATATACTGAGGACGAAGATAGTTTAAAACACGGGTGCTGTAAAGACAATACTAACTTATGGAGTTTTATTATGGTATATAAGTTCAAATATAACGCGTATTATTCATAGCAATTACTGGAAGATGTAAGAGAGAACAAACGATATGCTTAATATGGTACTAAATYAGTTATCATTTGATTTTCGAACTCTAAATATKTTGATATATTCCAGTGAATAACTARGGAGACTTACCTGATATAATCATATCACCGCGCTCGGTTGTCCAGTAGTTTATGGACGCTGGATATGCCTCTGTATGACATTCCAATATCACATCCTGCCCCACATATGCGCCCTCTAACTGATTAGGGATGGAAAGCATCGGCGGAACTACAAAATAAATTAAAGATTTTATTTCCTGTTACACTGTGTATGAAAAAAAAACTATGAAAAGAATTATGTGGTAGATGATTCCAGAAAGATAACTTTTCGTTTGGAGACTATGTAGACGCTCTGGGAAAGAATTTTAGAAAAATCACACCCAGCGCACAATAAATGGGGCTGTGAAAGCAGTTGCCAGCTCTGTATCACTTTTTTGTTTGGAAGTTTTTTCACGTTCTAAGACTTCCTTGGATTTATATCTCCAGCTCAATATGTCTTTTCGAAAATTTCGAAAATTTCTTTAACAGCGAGTAGAATTTTTAATTGTAAAAAATATACATATTTGTCGTGATGATTTATTGCGTTCGTATTATTTTTAAAAATTTAATTAAATTTGCAAATTTAACAAAAGGCGATAAGAAGTTTAGAAATAATACGAAAGACATAAGGGAAGAGTAAAACTCAAACTAAAGGAACGATATTGAAAGAAGCTGACATATGCAGCCCTATTGCCTCTAATTAAGTTTAAYAAATGAATGCATTTTCGCTGGGTTTCGTGAAGCAAGCCTTCACATTCAGCCATTTGCACGCACAACAACTGCTGAATGCCACACMGACGAAATCACGTACGGCTCAGATATGCCAAAGTTATTTCGATTTTTCGTGTCGCGTTTGCGCCRCAGCTGACTTTGTGACAGCCAAAAACGTCATGTCGTGGTGACCCGAGTATGTYGCATCATAGTACTGTAGTGCTGTAGATGTCATAGTGGAGGCGGAACAAAGTTGTTGTCACTAATATGGCATACTCGATCCAGGGGCAACTGCTGACTTTTACCTCGCAAGGCTGGTGTCGATGTTGCGGTGACGGTCGTGGTGAACGGATTGTACTTGCAACACCRGTGTTGGCTCATGTTCTCGTTTGTATGTGTGTGTTTTGTAAGTGCAAGTGTATGTGAAAGTACATGTCAACAAGAGGTGTTACATTGCATATAAGCAGATGCCATTACGAGCACGAGCATGCTTCACATCGCGTGGGTTCAGTGAATTTCGGTTACTAAGTAGTTTGGAAAATTTCTGTTGAGCGAATCTCGCGTCGGTGGTTTTTATGTTAAATAAGGCCCACTTCGATATGGGTCGTTAATATTCACGCAGTCCGAGCTTAAACTTCAATTTATAGTCCACGCTTAAGAGCTTTATGAAGCACCGCTTTGAGCGGTTTGAATACGGATATTTCGTATGAAAATTTACGGATTTTTGGCACTAACAAGTTCAATTGGTTTTCAGCTTCCACCCAGACATCTAATGCGGTCTACTCGCCAAACCGATTTAATCTTGAGCCACTTAAAATCCCAAACACCGTTCGATATTACTTTAACAATTTTTCGTCGAGCTGAAGTTATTTTTGTCCAAGCTATTAAGATACGACTTCTATATAAACATGCCCAAAGTTCGACCTGGACTGGTCCAATAAAAATTTAAAAAAAATTTCAAGCAAACGAAAATGGAAACACAAAAATTTAATCTTTGAAAATATTCCAGAAATGTTTTGTGGAAAAACTTAGATTGAAGACCTTTTTAGGTGAGGCTTATAACAACTATATTATTTGTATATTAGCAAGAAAGCCTATTTAGAAGGCGTAGTCTCAGTCAAATCAATCCGATAGTACAACTTCTCGTATTATCCGAAAGTAAGCAACAAGTTGCATACCCACTCGCAACGGCAAAAGAGTTTTATGAGAGATTTTTGATAGCTCCAAAGCGTTCTACATTCATGTGGTATTTACTTTATTTATTCGTTATTTATTTCTCCTTCTCCTTCAAAGAAATCCACTACCGCTGCTATAAATGTATGCCAACGAATTTTCCAATTATCACAGCACTTGAAAATATCCTCCGTCGTGATGGGCATCAGAGCCTTCTTCGATTTATATCCTCAATTGAGTCAAAACGGGGTCCTCGGAGTGGTCATGTGAATTTGCTGAAAASCCAGAAGTTACACCAATGTAAGTCAGGCGAATACGGTGGTTGCCAAAGGAGATGGAGCATTATCGTACTTCTTTGTTCAACAAATTCATATATAGGAAAAAACGAAGAATTAACTTTTAAAGCCTACAAAACGACGCGTATCTCAAATTATAATGAATATTTTGACGTTAAATTTAGGATAGATATCACTAAGAGTTCTAACAATTTACAGAAGCAAGAGTTCACCGATTCAAAAATCACGCGAAGTATATGTGAATTAAAAATTCACCTTTCAACTTGATCACAGTATTATAAAGATTTCCATTTTTTTAACAAACCTTACGTGGATTATGTCGGTCAGTGTATGAATTATACGAGTATACATACTAGAGGGGACCCATCCAAGCTTTKATACTCGTGCATCAGCTACATGTATGGTATCGTCGCTGGGTGCCAGAGCTGGAGAATGCGGTAGATGCGAAAGTAATTCGAAGTCCAGTTTAAGGACTTCACTTTCAAATACGGTTTTCATTGCTAACAACCTCATTTGGGCGTCTACTGGATAATAGAGAAATTAATCACTGATTTTCCTAACTTAAGATGGTCGGTGTTTCTGCRACTAGAGGGTACTTGAATTATTTTCCACAAAGTGAACATATATTACTCRAACTATTCRTTATTAAATTATCTATCACCTGAAAATCACGCGTTAAAATTTACTAATTTATATCTTATTGTATGTATCTCAGTTTATTGAAAAACTACACCAAACCGAACACTTTTCCCGGAGCGCGCAATTGTTGCGGCGTCAAATCTGCCACAATCAGCATTTATTATTTGGCTCAAACAACTAAAGCCAAACCAATTGCTGGTGAAAATTTCGGTGCCAACAAAAAGTTTTAATTAAACAATTGATGTTTGGCCAACGTGRCACAACGGGCGCGAGCAAAACCGTTCGGAATTTCGTACGTGAACGAAAAGTCGGCGTGTAGTTGCATGCTAATCACCGAAAAACCAATACAATAAAAGCCGTAATTATAACCATTTTAATATCAGCCACAGCCAGATCCGTGCGAATGCGCAACAACAACAACAGTCATTGCTAATATTTTGCACAATACTTTTGCACTTTGCAGCTCATTGCCGGCGCGGCAGCTACTCGTGTGGCACGAACAACGCGCAATTGTGGCGGCTGCCAAGCATGTTGCACAAATTGTGGTAAAATTGATAGTAGCTAAAACGGGCAGAGCAGCAACAACAAAAAGTACATGTTAGCAGTTGCAAATTTTGTTGCCCAAAATTGGTTGGGAGTTGCCATATTTGGCGGCCGGTGAGTGTTAGCGAGTAGATGAATGGTTGTGCAGCAGACAGCATACTCGTTGGCAAATTATTCAAGTATGTKTGTATGTTTGTKTGCTTGTATGTGTTGTTGGTTRTGTTTGGCAATTCTAATTTTTGGCAGCCAAATTTAATTAAAATATTTTGCTGGTTTTGACCACTCAATATGCGAGTGGCGCGCTGAAAAAGTTCTCGAGCGGCGTTAATGCCAGTAGAGATGAGTTTGAAAAACGCAAATAACACCTTCACTCGTGGTGTATCTTTTTTCAGCATATTTAATGAGTGAAGCGATGTTGTTGTTCCATTAAAAATTTCTAAAAATATTTAAATCTCCAACAAAAYGGATGTGTTTATTTTTGCACAAACTTCCGTATAAATCAAAATGTGTTTTTACTTACATTGCACGCGCAGGTGCACCCGCTTGCTGATGGATGGCGGCACTCCGTTTGATGCCACGCAGAGATAGGCGGCCATGTGCAGCCGACTCACTTTGGTTATATGCAGCAGCTCGCCATCAACCACGTTAACTGAAAGAGAGTTTTATAAAGCAAATGTGTACATTAGATCAAATGGATTATAAAAACTTTAATTTATATTCTTTAATAGATGTAATGTTGCTGCATGTTCGAAAGTAGTCTGCAATTTGGCAAAAATATATGCGAACTTAAGTATCAAAGTGAATGCGAAAATTAATTATTTGTGCACTTTATTAAATATACTATAACCTGATGSGCTGTTTCATTTTCTATTGAAATAGGTAAACTTGTCACACAACTCTTCTTGATCAAGTTCCTAAACCATAAGTATAAACATGAAATACCATCATAGAAGTCATGCAAACAAAATATCGCCTGAGTATCAAAAACAATTCTTTTATAGATATTTTGAGATCATTAGACTCTCGAACACCATATTACTAAACATTTTCTATATAATCCTGACAAACTTTTACGAAGCTACATTATAATCCTGCCATGACAGTGGCGCCAGTAGCCAGTAGTAGCGCCTAGGCARCAGTGTAGRAAARTTATTCTTATCTACGATAACTCGTTACAAATTATAAACACTTGAATCGCCAATTACACCAAGAGATCGATCTCTTAAAACGATAGTGTATAATATGCAGCTTGTGCAAGAATTGAAGCCGCCCGACCTTCTCAGGCGACATCGCTTCGATTTATGAGCTCTTGAAAAGTTCCCAGAAGTTTTTTTCGGGCAAATTTTATTCAGCGATGAGGTATACAAGGTGCGTTCCAAAGTAAGCAGRACTTTTTGAATCTAGCGCCCCCTGGTGGCGCCATCTATCTATCGACTGGTGCGTTAGAAATTGGAAAAATGCATTTGCCCATGAAAAGAAAGCGTTATGCAGACGTGTTACTCCATTTTGTATTATTTTCATTCCGATCCTCGTTTTTAAAGCGGCCAATAATATGTGAATTGCGTTATTGGTCAGGCAGTAATCCACAAGTACTCCATGAGTGACCATCCCAAAAAATTAGGGTTTATAGGCCGGCAGCATTATTGGACCGTACTTCTTCYGTGATGATCCAGACGTTACTGTGAATGGGAATCGCTACCGCTCAATGATAACCGAATATTTTTGAGCCGAATATCTGATGGCACTCTTCACAAAAATGAACAATTTCATTAATATTCCAAACCGTTTTCGTTTTATTAAAAAAAAACGTTTATAACACTCTTATTGCAAACCGCGTTAGTTATTTTTTATTTTTCATTGACTGCTTTGACTGTTGCGTTCTTGCGAGAGCTGTAAGCAATTTGTCTGGTGTAAATTTAATAACATCAGTGCAATTTTTCATCCTAGTTCGAAATTTTATATAACAAAATATTTTTATGAGCTATGCTTTTCTACTGAATTCCGAATGAGAACTTAAAGTTACAGTTAATTAAACTCCACTCTACATAAATCTACGTTTGCCGCTGAGTCGAAGTTTCAGCGATTAGGGTGGAGGTTATATTGCATTATGCTACATTAGCATCACATGATACTTTTATGGTGCGTGGAGTGCTCTTGCATATCCTTCATTAGGAGTCTTGAACGAAAACAAATCTTCACAGAACTACTTCTTTGGAATGATAAGTATTATAATACAACTTGCAATAAGTTAAACATGTTCCATGAAGACTATGCTTTGCTCTCCCATATCTCTGGACAACTCTGCATCAAGCAATTCAATGACTGCATAATCCCTAGTTGTGATCATTATACGAATCAGAATGTCCAAAAAATATTTTTTTTTTTTTTGTTTTGCATTTTCGTTAAGTGTAATATCTTAAAAATATTCTTTGATSTGGTAATTAGTTTTTGAGTTATTCAACAAATAACAAAGAGAGCTTGGGCACTTCAAAGCGCTATTGTGAAACTTCAAACACGTTTTTCCCAAAACTATGTTCTTTAAACTGGTGACAACTGTAACTCGAGAACCGCTCAGTAGATTTTATTGAAATTTATACAGCTTTTAGGATACATAATAAACTCGGGCCTGATCGAAGAATTTTTTTTTCAAAAATTTCGATTTTTTAAGACCAAATAACTGTTGATTCTTTCCCAAAAATTTAGACAAAAATTTCCTGGGGTCGTCATTCTGTTAATTTTTGAAAAAACAAAAAATCCTTCGATCAGGCCCAGGATTATCTATTTATAAAACTAATTTTTGTCCGATTGATTTTAGATGAATCTCCAAGAACGTATGGTGGTCACCGCAAGTACCTTTTTTAGAACTGAAACAACTATAACTTTGGAAATATTTTTTTTTTTTTTTTGTTTTGTTGAAATTTTCGTGGCTTCAAGTCAATACATTCTATAATAATGTCATATTACTACTTTTGTAAAATAACACGATTTAATAGCAAAAAAAAATAATGCAAAATGGAATTTTTTCGTGGCGTCGTGCGTTTTACTACCCCTAACCCCTTAAGTAAAAGTATTTGAAACTGGAATCCAAATAACGAAAAATGTATTATTAAAACTCGGTAARTGTTCTATAATGAGCGGAAGAATACTTGAAACATTTTTCGCTTTGATTTAGCAAGGCAAATAAATCAATAAAAACATATCATGGCATTCTCCTTTTATTTCAAGTAATTTACAGTTAATTACCACCAATTCCCTCAGTGAACGTAATGTTTACTCTTATTCAATGTTTGATTTAACTTACCGTGTTCACCGCCGATAAGCATTTCCTCGCCATCTTCTCGCCGCCACATCACATATGGCTCCGGATAACCGCGTGCTTTGCACATAAGTGTCACATTCAGACCTTCACGGACCACCATGTCATTGCTGGTCATGCTTTCAATTATGACGGGAGGTACTGAAACGAGAGGATTTGTATTTGAGTTTGAAGAAATAGTTATATTTCTGCAATTGATGATTAGTTTGAATATTAAATAATATTCTTCATCAATTGAAAGAAATTTTGAAATTAAACCAAGTTTAAAATAAATATTTAAATTGATAAACTTACCYACAACTTGTAGATAGCCCTTTTGCGAGCGCATTGGRTCCGTATTCACTTGACACATGTACCAACCGCGATCGCTCTCTTCCACCTCCTTAATATGCAAGTACCAAGAGCGATGATCATTATAACTCAGACTGATGCGATTATTTTGCGATATGACGTTGTGATGTATGGAGAGTATTGTCTGTGTGTCCACACGCACCCAAGCGACCTGCAAGAGTTGCCAAGAAGTAACACTTTTTTATAATATATTACTTTAACTTATACTATTTAGATGTATAGGAACTTTCTGAAGGTGAACATAATTGCATAATACTGGAACGTTCCAAATATCTGAGTTTGCATGTGTGCAACCTCATCCACATGCAGCTTTCAATCTAATGAAACCTGACAAATTATCAATGKGTTGCTGTCGTGCTTTGACAAACATTAATCAAAATGTCTTTGCCACATTTCAAAATCCTCATTCAACTACCACAAATTTGTGTTTAAGTGCTGCCATCCTTAATTGTCAATTACTTGTGAGTGTGTGAATTAATACTAGGGTAACTCGTTGGATAGCAAGATTAGGAATATTTTCAAAGCACTTCAATTTWCTTTTGATCAAAAAATATGTTATTGTACTATGAAGTAGTCTCCTTTCTTAGCAATTTTTGTATTCTTTAATTAGATTTTCTTTTTAATTGTGAGTGCTAAGCCTTGCCGCATCCCAAATGTTCAATTACTAAAACACACGAGTGCTCACCGGCTGATGCCAAAAAGTTATCCAGGGACGGCAATGTGGAGGTTAGCTAATTACTTGGCATAAATATAGGCAAAGATTATGTTAGTTCTTGCCAAATCCGATAGTTTACTTTGCACGCTCGCTTCGAGGACCAAACTGTATCGCACCCTGGAAGTCTAGAAAGCTATAGCGGCTATTGAAAAGGAATTAGGCCGATTCGGTCTGATGAGTAACGAAGTTTCGTCGAAATTTTCTGCTGACTACCAGCAGCGGAAAGAGAATGAGCTAGTACGTGAGAACTATATTATATTATATTGTTACTAAAACAAGATGTGTCTTGATGAGAGTTATCGGCGCTCCGCAGCAGCTATTTTCATGAGCTCCCAGAGCGATGGACGCATTTGACATTAAAAGGATCGAATTCGAGACTGACACTATAAATACTTTAAATAACCATGTGAGAGTTATATGCAACGAGGGTGCCCGTGGAGCCTACAATATTCCAAAAACAGTTATTCTTTAATACATAATTGTCAGTTGTCATCGGAATACATCTGAATTTATGAACTGCTGTGTAGTGAATAAACCAGAGCTCCAATGAAACAAATGAAATAATCCGAATCGAAGAGTATTGACCTTTACACTCATGTTTAGGATCACAATCATGCCAAAACACCTGACAGTCCTATTGAAAAGTTTAGCAAACTGTTAAGGAAAATTGCAAAATAGGCTATTTTCGTTCTACCAGAAAGATGTAGATGTTGACAATAATGTTTCTTGAAAATTATTCAATATATATTTAAATAAGTTATGATATGAGATATATGATATATTATATGAAATTATGTAACATACATCTGAATTTATTTATTGAATAATTAATAAAATAGAGTTCATCAATTCTACCCTGGAACATTGGGTAAACGAAAGTCTTGTTTCTTAGAGAAAATATATTATTTAATTATGTATTAATGTAACATTCTTATGTTAAGTCGAAAAGTTTTGACAGACGCTAATATCAACTCTTCTCTTTCTTCTGAACTCTTGGAAAGATTTTTCAGGAAAACATATACAGTAGTATTATTTCAAATGCTGGCCCTGTGAATCTATAATAGTTTTTCCTCTCTCTCTGAAGTTTGTCTTTTCAACCCCAAAATAATTGTCCGGCTTGGCTTGAAATGTGAGCCGTATTGCAGTAAAGACTGACATGAAATAATAGTCAGAAGCAGGAAGGTCTACACCGTTTGTCCGGAAAGTAATAGGACTGATTTTCTTCTGCCGCGACTGATTCCGAGCACCTGGACAGTCAGGACAAATATTTTCGCACGACGTGTTTCTGTGAGTGTTGCAAACCGAAAACAAGTGGAAGTGTGCCAAGAAAGTTTCAACATGTGTGAAAGTGACCYCCRATTTTTTAATAACGTAATCTCAGGTGACGACTCATGGATCCTTGAGTATGATACCGAGACAAAGAGACATTKTGAGATGACAGAGGGGATCCAAGCAGCATGCATCTCGGCTCTCAAGGCCGAGAATGCCTCTCATGACGCCTTCAAAGCAACGCTGCATCTGCGCAGAAGGAASGATCTTATYTTTAAAGATTTTAAAGAACCAATCRTTAGGTTCAATCAATTTRTTTAAARCGACTCAGTCTTATTACTTTACGAACAAACSCTGTAGGCTATGAGACTGTGAGACAAAACTTCTCAGCCACTGTATTTCGAATAGGTTTTAACCGGTCATACAAGCCCAGCGTTCCTATGATGAAAAATTCTTGTCTTACGTCTAGTCTAGTCTTACGTGTTTTCGGTATCGTTCTCCATTGATGGGATCAAAACGACTTTATTTTTAATTTTTTCATCCTCACTTCACATATCTGTCAGTTTTCTTGCTTTTAAATTTAGCTGGCTGCTTTTGCTCGTGTTGAAGTGACTGTTCGAATAGATTCGAAAGATTCCGAAAGCTCTTCTTATGTTTGGCAACAATTTAATACTTCCTATTCTTCAATCTTTTTTGTAGGACTGGCTTCGTCTTCCAATTCAAAATCACCGTGCAAGCAACTGTTTGCTTAGATTTTCTTTATGTTAAAAACAAAGTTTGTTATATTTGAATGTACAACAATTATTGTTGCTTGTACTTCAAATTATTATATACCGACAAAAAAAAATCATAGGAATAGTAGTTTTCTAACGCATGTTCTTAAATGGGAATAGTGAAATAATAATCAAGCTAGGTAATTTTTTGACCAACCACATGAAATGTAGTTAAAGAACTTAGTTTCACGTTAAAAAGTCCTCTCATACAAAAAAAGTTTTGAATTCACTTGTAGCAGCGTTTTCGGTATCAGTAAGGATCGGTCTACAAAAGACTAAATGTGATCACCGTGACGTTAAAAGCAAATGCAAAAACAAATGTTTTTTGTGGTCCTGAATTACCTAAGAATTTTTCAATCGAAATATATTTATAATAACAAAATACTCTTCTATGATATTTTTTGATCATTTTATTTWATTTTCAAGCACCAATATTTCTAGYAACTCACCCTAGTGCGAATGTGTTMAAATATTCTSTTTGTCACGCGTAATCGCCCCACATACACTACATGTTACTCATACGCCATGTGTGCACTTAGGTAGTGAGAGACTTGTTTTTATATAGTAGGTATGTAAGTACGCACGTTCTATTAGGCACTATCTCCCGCACTTACGCTTATGCTGAAAACATTTAATCGACAGCTGCTAATTTATGCATTCAATGAGGCACTACAAATTGTTGAAACTGAATTGTTGTTGTTCAAAAACTTTGTTAGTGGGGGAAATTAGTGCAAACTTATGGCTATGACATGGGAAAACGATTCAGTATCTACACATATGAACAATTAATTATCGTGTGTAGTAAACCAATATATGGTATGTATATATTTAGAATGAAAGTTTTCTAAGAAAGTGGCAATGTGGATAGGAAATTATCTAAGGAAGCATAGTTAAAAAAAAAAAAAAAATTCGATAGTTCTCCTTACTGAATTGGCTGTTAAAACTGGCAACATAACGCTAAGACTTAACGTAAACGCAAAACCATTAAATAAATATTATCCTTATTATCTAAAACAGACATTTAATTGGCCTTTCCTGACCAACCATATGATTACGTTCAGAGGACGTTCAGAGGGGAACAATATATTTTCTCAGGAATGAAGATTGCTTCCGCTCAATGATTTGTACTTTGTTTATACGCCGATGGAGCAAGATTAATAAGATTCTTCTTYGATAAACTCTGTATAGAAGTTAGCTTCAAACTAACTGTCTTTTAGTCGAAGAACAGTTATATAAAAAGTGTAAAGTAGGCTGACGCTTTAAATATATAGGCAGTTAATTAGCTTGGTGAGCTGCTAATTAACCGAAAATTTAGGATAAAYGAAACATTCAAGTGCTCTCAGAAGTGTGGGCACTGTAAACTACTTATGACTCTCTCTTTCAAATATCACTTAAGGCGGTAGGTATAGATTATACAGGACTCCACGTCCTGTAAAACATATCGTTAAATTATTTGAAGAAGTGTACTTGTTGGACAGGAAAAAACATATACTTTTAAGAAAATGGAGTTTCTGTATTATTTTGGGAAATGTCACAATAATTAAAAATTAAATATATATAGTATACGATTTCTACTTTAAAAAAATGTTCCACCTACGAGGAATTATAACGAAAGAGAAAAAGATCAAACATGCTTTTAATGAGTTTTTAACGATATCTAGTTTCAAMTTGGACATCACCTTTGAATCCTACATCAGAATTAATCTAACTAAATAATATATCAATAATATCAACGTGTCTTTAACTTTAGGGTTAATCATAAATTCATTTCATTTCTAGATTTTCAGACGGCATASGGATATTTGTGCTGGGAGGATAGAGTCATGAGTAGAAGTTCACGCAAGTCAGGAAAGTTCTCTTGCATGCCATTCACTTGGGAGTGGTCAGAAACGATATTTTACAAATAGCTCAAGCAGCTCACGATTTCCGGTCTTTGACCGAGTATCCTCTGGGTAGCCAGAAAACATCCGTTTGAAGGCGAACTAAAGTGAGCAGGCAAAACATTCCCTAAATAAGGATGCCGCTGAGTTTGGGATGCGCCATATAAGAAAACGACCCAAATGAAAACGTTTAAACAGCCTCGAATGAGAAACCCCCCTTTTGATGACGTCCATGACAAATGCACTAAGTATAACGATTTAAGTGCAAGCACCTGAAATGTTCAGTCCCTTAATTGGAAACGTGCCGCTGCCCTGCTGGTTGATGTCCTCGTGAAAATAAAACCTGACATCAYCGCCGTCCAAGAAATGCGATGGACGGGACAAGGACAGATACAAGAATTTCCATGTGGCATTTACTACAGTGGCCATATAAAGGTGCGCAAGTTAGGTGGGGCATTCGTGGTGGGAAAGATATTCCGTCGTCGAGTACTGCCATTCAAAACCGGTAGATGAA